ATGCTGCCAGGCAGGGGGTGACGCAGCCCATCGAGCGCGTGAGCCACACTCCTCTGTCCCAAAGTCCGGCGTCACGCCTGCTGTGCGAGCAGTACCAGTGCTGCCACTGCTCCTCAGCGGGATGGCCACCCTCTACTTTACAGAGCTGGCGGCTCTGACGGGAGCGTTGTGACTACGGCGCACTGTACGGCACCGCAGGGAGCGGGGCGGGGAGCTGCGGAACGTCTGCGACCGTTATTGGCTCTCCCCCGGCTACCGCCCTCCCCCCCCGGCTCCGCAGAGCCGATTGGTTGCCGCCGCCGTCACTCAACTTCAGGGCGGGCTTCCTCTCCATGGGCGGCCGCTGCCGGCCGGCCTGCCCCGTGCGTGCGCGTTTCGTCCGGCGGTGCCCGGCCCGCCATGCCGAGTGAGGGCGAGCCAGGGCGTGGGCCGTGCGGCTGCGTGACGTCATCATTAGGCGACGCGCGGTGCGCGGGCTGCGTGTCACGTGAGCGGGGTGGGGGGGCTGCGGTGTGAGGCTGGGGATGGCTCCGGGGCTCGGGATGCAGAATGGGGGTCCTTGTGGGGCTGGGCTGTGGATCCTGGGGACTTGCGGGGTCCCGCATGGATATGGGGCGTCTCGGTGGAGCCGTGAAGGCCTGGGCGCGTTTTGGAGGTCGCTTGTGACTGGGGGTTGGGGGAAATGGGGCTCTCGCGGGGCTGAGGGCAGCACGGGGCTGTTTTTTGGGGTGTTCCTGTTGGACTCGGGACGAGGGTCTGCCAGTGGTACGCGGCCGGGGGTCTGCATGCCTAATGGAGTCCATCTCCTCTCGACTTCTCTTCTTCCTCTTGTTCCCCTCTCCCACACCATGGCTGCCCGCCTTTCCCCCACGCTGATGCTGGACGCGGCCTTGGAGAGCGGCTCGCAGATAGAGCTCAGGGGAAATGCGTCAAAACCCCCCTGAGCGAGGCAGAAGGTCCCAGGGGAGGCGTCGAAGAGCAAGGAGGAGGAGGAAGATGGGGCCCGAGTGCCACTGTCAGCAGTGTCCCTGGCGATGTTCTCACTGCTGCAGCAGCGACTGGGGGAAAGCGCGGGGCGGCTGCAGGGGGTTGTGGCGGAGGCACTGGAGTGCAGTTTGAGGGGGGCCATGCAGCTGCTGGAAGGCCTCGAGGAGCCCCTGGGCCAAGCCCGAGCTGAGGCGGCTGCCTGTCGTGTGAAAACAAAAGTTAGTGGAAAATTGGTGTGAAGGTTCAACCTTTACTGCTTTCCCACCAACGTCCAACTCTGTTGTTGTGGGCAAACAGGAGGCATTTCCTTTGGAGCAGTCCTCATTAAATGCATAGTATAGGTAATGTACACAAGTAATAAACGTTACTTCAATTTTTAATGATTTTTTACTGTAAGGCATTAAAAAGAAAGTAACAGTAATATAAAACCAGTGGGATATATGACCTTGTTGTGAAAGTAACATATTAGTTCAGATTCAATGGCAGTGATTGCAATTCTCAGTGAGTTGTCAAGGTGTTTGTCAGAGATTCTTGATGAAATTTTTCTGTGCTTCATCCTTGAAGACACTTGTTCACAAATGCACGTACAGCCAAACAGCAGTGACATGAGTATGGTGTGATTGTGAAATAAGGAGTGTTTCTCTCTGGTCAGAGAGGGCTTATCCAAGTCTGGTAAAGAGACATGATCAGATTTTTGATTGCAACTTTATAGATTCCGCTTGCAAATCCACAGGGAATGTATTCATGTCGATAGAAAATGGAGTCACAACTAAACTAGTGATTTTTTTTTTTTTTTTTTTTTTTTTTTTTAGGCAGTCATGTTGAAACTTATTCTCACATTCCTTTATCACAAAAGAAAACGTGGCTGCATCTTTTTTGTTCTCACAGGACTGTAAGCCAATGTAATAAAATGCATAAACTGGTTTGCCGTAACCTGAGCTGGCGCTGCGCTGTGCCCTCCCTGTCCCTGCTTTCAGCCCGGATCAGGTTCATAGCACACTGATGAGCAGGCTGCATTGCAATGCAAGCTGTGCTGGGCCATGGTTTGGACGTGGCTGCTCTAAACAGCTTGATGTCTGCCCTCCAGAAGTCCAGGACAGCAGTTCTGCTGACCCCCCTGTATCCCATGCAGACTGTATGAACACTTGGTAGATCCGCCCCTTGGAGGCCCTAACTTCCACACAAACCTTGTAACAAATGAAAGCCCCATCTTATTGACAACCTGTATCTTGTGGAGACCCTATTCCCCCATGGGGACCCCATAACCCTTGGAGACTAGCCCCACTACAACCTATACCTCATGAAGACCCCATGGAGACCATATAATCCCGTGTAGAACCCGCCTCCTCAGGCCCCACTCTGTCAGACCGAGCCCCCAATCTTGCAGCTTGAGCCTGACATCGCCGATATCCCAGATGACCTTGCGTATCATGGATATTACCCCCTCCCGCTCCCTTGAGGCCAACACAACAGTGGAATTTTGTCAATAAGCATTTGATACTGCCAGAATTTGGTACTTTTAATGTTGATCTTCTCACACTGTTGGAGGTTATTATTGGAGGGATAATTCCCTGCCCTGGTGTGTTTGGGAATTACAAGAACTGAATGGCTGAACCACAAAGGTCAATTTAAATGAAATGAATTAAATGATGATAGGGAAAACTGTCCCTGTACATCTCTTTACCTCTGGAAGCAATTGCTGCTAATGCATTGCTCCCAGAGTCCACCGAAGAAAAGTGAAAGGGAAAAACAACGGGTTCAGAGTCTCAAAGTTGTCCACCGAGGACAGAAAAGTGGGAAAAATTGATGACAAATATGGGAAGAATGAGTGAAAAGGGAACAATTCAGCCCCAAGTGTGTCAAAAGTGATAATACTCTGGTGTCAGCAAGGAAGGAAAATTGCCCTGAAATTGGTCTTTCGGCTCATTGAGGGCTAATTATGTGATAAAGCATGTACCATCAGTATGAAAATGAGATTGTAATGAGACAGAATCTTCCAGTCCCAGAAAGAGCAAGCCCAGAAAAGATGAAACCAAGTACCCAATTAGAAACTATAAAAAGAGATCACCTTGTGATCATCTCTTTTATATAACATCCATGTAGGAGTAACTGTGCTTCTATCTTGGGTGGTGCTGCCTTAGCAAAAGATTGCTAAGCTCCTTGTTCTGCGGAATTAGGATGGAAACCTCTGTGAAGGTTATGGCTCCATGTGCTGGCACACAGAGGTTCATGCTGGTGCATGAACCTGGTCCCTGATGGGATAACAGGATGGTTCTGGGGTCAGCGCTGTGGCAACGGGGACTAAGGGGGTGCTAAGGGGGATCTCCTGCAGGTTGGTTGGGTTAAAGACTACCCAAGCTCTGGGCTCCCTGAGTCATTTAGAGCCCATCCAAGGGCTCATCTTCCCCAAGGCGTCCATGAGCTGAGCTCACTCAGAACCTCCCTGAGATGGTTTTTACTGTCCCTGGAGGTTCTGGATGAGGTGACTGTTGGTATCCTTCAGAGCATCCAGGAAGAGATCCTTGCAGGCGACGTCCCATCTGGGTGTGAAGCTGTAGAGGAGCCGCATCTGCTCCTGCATGGTGGGCACTGCTCGGATGTTCTGGTACTGCTCATTGCTCAGGACGTGCCCGTAGAGCCGGTTCAGGGCAGTGCTGACTGATGTCACACGTTGGATCAGCTGCTCTCGGTGCTGCTCCACAAAATGCAGCCCTGCTGTCAACGGTTTACGGGCTGGTTCCGTGACGAGCGGGGCGGAGGGATCTGCAGATCCGCGCCTTCGGAAAAGGGAAACAGGGGACCCCAAAATAATTAAAAACAGCGGCACTGATCTGAGGAGAAACAAACTAATTTACTAAATATATTATTGGAATGCAAGATAACACACTATAATACAATATAATCAGAATTGAAGCTAATAAATCAAATATAATGAGAGAGAGAATGTCCGAAAGGTGGATAGGCCTCACCACAACGCTGAGGTGAGATGCGCAGTCCAGTTGAGCAGCAGGGAGAACGGAGCAGCGCCCACGACCAAGAGCAGATGAAAAAGAGCACATCAGGTGACCTTGCCAGGAGTTAAATTTCCTCTCCCTGACCACAAGGTCTCCTGGGGAATGCAGTTCTCCTTCTCTTCTGAGCAGGTACCCAGGACTTGAGCATTAACAGTTAAACTCCCAGTGCCCCACATGATGTTATGATATGGAATACCGGAAACCAAAAATCACAAAACCATGATACCTGCTACGATAGAAGAGTGAGTGGTTGGGTGCTGCTGCTAAATAGGAAACATCCCGCCTTTGCTAAGACTGAAGGATGCTTATCACTGCTTCTTGTTTGCTCTTGGCATGGCAGATTAAACCATCTTGTATCTTCCTCTTCTGCCAAGACTTTGCACAAGGGAACAGCCCAAAGGCAGAACTCATCCCAGTCCTCCTCACCTCAATCTCTACCTAGGTTTCTGAAGTATTCTTTCTGATTTGACATCATGGCCTCATGGCCTTCCCCTCCAGCTCTCTGGGGTACGTTAGGGAGAACAAAGAAACTCTCTCTCCACACTGGATTGACCAAGACCTGGACCTCCAGGCCAAACCCACTCCCCCTAAAGGAAGAACACACCTGAGTACGAAGGAGGAAAAGAGGCAGCTGGAGGCTCAGTGTCCCCTAGAGAAGAGCAAAAAGGAGAGTGGAAGGTACCAGACTGAAAAAAGGAGGCTTGGACACACACCCTGACAGATGTCAGCAAGTCCTGCTCCCTTACCAAACTTGAGGCCTCATTTCAGGCCTCACTGAACCCAGGGCTGCAATCATGTCCTTCCTACCTGCCCTCGGGAAGGCAGCCCACAGCAGGTCACGCTCCTTTTCACCTTCCTGGGCGACCTTCATCAAAGAGAGCTGCAAAGAGAGCTGGAGGTCTTTGTTGTAGATCTCGGTGTGGAGCTGGCGGCTGTCTGATGTCAGGTAGATGAATTTCAGCTCCTGGCAGAAGCAGGTTGGTGTGTCAGAGCATTGCCATCCTTCACAGCAGTTGTGAGGCACGTGGCCCAACTCACTTGAGGGTTTATCTCTGCCTGTGAAGGACCAGATGCACGGTATCATGTGTTAGAGTTCAGCAGTCGTTTGGTCTGGGGAGATTTGTTCATCAAGAGTGAATAGCCTCATCTCTTCTCATCCTTGTCCACCACCTGCAAAAAGATTGTACATTGACCGTGGGGAGAAATGATGATGGGTGAAGTGAGAGAAAAGCAAGGAGAGAAAGCGAGTAGGAAGAGCTACAAGAGATCTGGCGGGCAGGATTAGCATCGTGACTTGTGGGAGCCTTTTTGCCAAAGGCTTGCTTGTACCACATGAACCCCATCTCTCCATGGAGGAACCCATCTCTTGACTGCGCAAACATGACCATCTTCGGAGCCACAAAATCAAATATGGAATCAGAGCTGCACTCACCTTTTCCAGGCCGTGGTTGTTGGGGATGAGGTAGAGGTGAAGGGTGACGTTGGCAGCCCTGATGACATGGTAGAGCAGCACAAGGGAGTGCACGCAGATGAAGGGGAATGCGGCAGAAAGCAAGATGACTCCCATGGGGGAGAAACTGGGATCTCTCAACTCTGCGTGGAATGGCTTCACTGCATTGGGCTTCTCCAGGAGCATGTTCCCATTGAGGACATGGCCGATACGCATCTCAGATGTGTTCACATTTCCTTCTGAATAGTCAAAATGTGTCACAGATCAAATTGTCGTACTGGGGAGAGTGCTGATGTTCCCCCAGGGCTGTTTCAGCCACCAAGCCATCATCCTCACTGTGTTACCTGTGAGACAGGAAATGAAGGAGATGAATGGCCTCGACAGCACCCAGCGTAGCATGGATGTCGAACACCAGTCCAGCCTCCATCCATCCAGCGGGGATGCCATCAGGCAGGTGACATTTGGGCAAAAGGATGGGGGACTTGCTTTGGCCTGTGAAAACTGTAGAATCACAGTGTCATCCTGCAGTGCTGAATGCATAACTGATGGAGGGGACACAAATGCCAAGGATGTCTGGACCCTTGTACATCTTACTGCACAGACTGGAATTGGGAGGGGACATTAGAAGGGTGATGTAGTTCTCCGACTACCGAGACAGACTACCGAGGACCTTTGGTCTCCTTAGCAGATGTGCCCTGACTCACCTCCTTGGTGAAGCGGTTAGGCACTCCACCCTCCCATCGCGGCAAGGGCGAGGAGACAAGGCCAGCACCGCCAGCCCGGCGGCATCCCCAGAGCAGCGGCAGCCCTCAGACCCGTGGCACCGCCCGAACGCACGAGGAAAGCCCGGGTCCCGGCCCACCCACGGCCGGCAGCAGCCCCGGCTCTGCCCGCGCGTGCCAAACGCGGAGACGGCCCCGAGGCCAGAAGCGGGCAGCCTCCCACCGAGCCGCCGGCCCCGGCCCGCAACGACGCGGACGCGGCCTCTCCGCCGAGCCCCCCCGGCTGAGGTCGCGCTGCCGGGAGCAGCCCCTGTACCGGGCCCCGCTCGGCACACCGCCGCGCGTGGGCTGAAACTGAACCGGAGCCGCTCCGCACGCACCGCCGGCGCCCCGCCCCCGCCGCCGCCGCCGCGCTACGGCGAGCCGCGAGGGCCGTGCGAGCGGGCGGGCGCGTTGCTGGGAGACGGGCGGAGGCGCCGAGCGGACCCCGGATGCGCGGCGGCCAGCGAGAGCCGGAGGGGGAGGGAACGCGCCCAGACGGGCCGGCCAGCGGGGGATGGAGCGGGGACACCAGCCGGAGAGCGCTGGGTGCGCGGCGGAGTGCGGCCGACGGGCCCGGAGCGGGCGTGGGAAGGAAGGTTTGCAAAGCTGGAATTAGACGAGGCCGCTAACGCGCCGTGTTGCGAGAGCGAAGGGGGCTGCGACCGCGTTCGGGGCTGCAAGACGGCTGTGGCACGGCAGCAAAACGTCACGCGCTGCGCTGGGTATGTTAGGAGAACACACTGGGTGCAGGAAGAGAGCGGCGGGCTGTTTCTCTGGGCGGTTGGAGCGAGTAAGTAAAGGGTTGCCATCCCGCTTAGAAGCAGTGGCAGCACTGGTACTGCTCGCACAGGAGGCGTGACGCCGGACTTTGGGACAGAGGAGAGTGGCTCACGCGCTCGATGGGCTGCGTCACCCCCTGCCTGGCAGCAT